GTCTCAGGGATGTGAAATTAACATATCAAAAGTGCACTCGTCGCTTCACATCATCTCGGGCTCAAATAACTCACCATCGTCGGATACAACCTATCGAGTACGACACTATGAAGGCATCTCGCGTTGCAACTGCCTTCACTCATTGGACAGAAGATGAAGATCGACAACTTGTATAACGCGCAACGGACTTATGTTCGACAGTTACATCCCGGAATCAACTTTTTCCCAGACTGCAAATGCAGCATCCCGTTCAGAGCACTGCGGCCATTAAAAGACGACTACAATATTTAGAATGATGACGTCTAAAGTGCTCCCATCGCACCTCTAATGCCACGCCGGACATCTCGACGGCGTCGTTTACTTCCCAAGGGGAACCTTTATCTACCTCTTATCGCCATCCCAGCCTCTCCACCCCTGATTCGCCTAATTCCGACATTTCATCCACGACAAACATTGAGCTAAAGGACCTTCCACCGTGGGCCTTTTTCCTTGCGTACACATATGTGATCGATGGGAACTTTCTTAATACGACAACCAGAGCCCGGAAACAACTTTCTACTCACTTAGAAGCGGCGGCTCGCAAAGAATTGGAGGGATATTTTGATTGGAAATCGTTTATCTACCGCAGGCTTGCTGTCTCGCACCACCTCTGCGGTCCCGGATGGCCCAACAACGCTTTTATCATCAACGCCCCAGCTTTTAACTCCATCAACGACACGAATGCCATTTTGCACACGCCTACCTCGATCCACCCCCTCACCCCAGCCGCCGGTAGGGACCTTTGAACGGCCCGCGGGGCAGGCTCCCAACTGGACCCTTTCGTCCCCTGCTCTGCAGAGGAAGAGCAGTGGATTCCCTCGTTGCTGTTTCAACGGATCGGCCTCTGCCGACCGCATAGCCAGCTCTAGCCCGACTACCGAATCAATCTTACAACTGGTCAGCCAGTGATGACCAAACCCTACTTTTAGCAGCCACACGTTTTGCGGCTACGTCTCCTTCCTTAAATATCCTTTTGGAGCGATTGCGGCGCAGCTACCCTTTCGCACCAGGGACAGTATCAGGAAATGCTTACAACGAGTTAGATGGTTCTTTCATCAACATCACACAAGCTCTACTTCTGGTGCTTCTCCGCAACCACCAATCGGAACCGGACTTCCAATCACACCACCGCAAGGAACCGTAAATGCGTCACTTTCCCCAACCGTAAAAAACGAATATATCCCATCAACCTCAGTCCACATTAACTGCTAACATGGATTTCAGAAGAGTAGTAGAGGGAGTTGAATGGTATAGGTAGAAATTCGTCACATCTAGACTCACTCGGACATCCGCCACACGCTCGGAAAAGCACTGTATGCGCATTTCATCCTTTCGGGAATCGTCAGCAGTGCGCATTCAATCGGACCCCGGTAGGGCCCGAACCTGTAGCTCGACTGTTGTCAGTCCGTGGTTGAGACCACTGAGCTACGGAGGACGCCAACGACCATCGTGAATAAGTTACTGGATGTGATATAGCGCCGCTCGCTATCCACTGACTGACACCTTACTGCCGTGTAGAGGACAGGGTAGCCCCCTCACCAAGCGGCGAGCTTACCAAACTTAAGCCGCCAATTACCGCCAATCACCTATACCATTCAACTCCCCCTACTACTCTTCTGTAACCAGTACGCAGACCAAACTGCTTATAATGCCATAAGTTAATTGGCTGCTTACGTTTGGTAAGCTCGTCGCTAGGTGAGGGGGCTACCCTGTCCTCTGCACGGCAGTAACGTGTAAGTCAGTGGATAGTGAGCGGCGCTATATCACATCTAGTAACTTATTCACGATGGTCTTTGCCGTCCCCCTAGCTCAGTGGTCTCAACCACGGACTGGCAACAGTCGAGGTGCGGGTTCGAGCCCTACCAAGGGTCCGATGGAATGCGCACTGCTAATGATTCCCGAAAGGATGAAACGCACGTACAGTGCTTTTCCGGGCGTGTGGCGGCTGTCTGAATGAGTCTAGATGTGACGATTTTCTACCTGTAACATGGATTTGTCTACATAAGCCTCTTGATAATCATACGAAGTCAATCCTGAAGTGAACATCCTCTCCTCGGAAAATGATCGACGTTTCATCGTACCTTCTCTCACTGACTCGATCGCTTTTGCAACCTCGCCGCACACATCTACAGCGTTTGTTTCCAGAAGCAACAGTACGCACAGAGATACAATTGCCTACCTTCGGTTTGTCTAGCGATTCCTCAGCTGAATTTCTGGCCCTTCTGTCCTATTCCTCGACGTTGACACCCACATCCTCAATAGTTACATGTTCCACGACCAAGGCGGAACAGGATCAACCAGCCATTGCGAATTCTACTTGTGAAGCTTCCCTCGAGTCCGCGCTAATACTCGTAGTTCGCACTCGGCTGCTAGTGGCCCAACAGCTTGTTTCCAACTGTGCTTCTCCTGCCATGAAGGAACACTCCATGCTTCTGAATCTGGTGAATTCCATCGCTACGGATGGACCGAGGATCACAATTAGTGAGGTCCCAAACGATTTGCGTGTTAGCCTCGTTCTACACAGATAAATGCCCTAGAAAATACGCGTACGTGCTGTTACGATTCGAAACAATCAACACCGGCGACGCTTTTAGTATGACCATATACAGCGTTTTTACCATACCCGCCGGAAAGACGCCGCAAATACAGTGACTGACGGAAGATGGCGCATCGCCTTTCTTAATCAGGAAGAGAACATTCCAGACTTCACGGAATTTTGGAAGGATGTCCTCTTCAGACCTGCTAATGATGATCGCGCACCGCGTCGATTTCTTCCACCTAATGACGACTTGGTGAAACCGATTACCTTGGAGGTGAAACCCTGCCGAGATTGCAAGAATGTACCCATACTTTGTAAGTTCCTTTATCAACCGTCTTCGTGCTTCCTACCCATTTCCCATCCACATGAACGTAGGCAGAACCGGCGCGGCGTTTGTAGGTACGCTGCATTCGATTTACTAACCGCATGCTTGCATGCTAAGTCTCCTTATTTCAGGTGGTGGGTTTCAATTTTGTCCCAATGCATTTCTTTCTCATGTAAATGTCTCATGTAAATGTACTCTCTTCCAATAACTTGCACACTTCGCTTAAGCCAATTGTAGTCGATTTCCATAACATGTTCGTGGCATTTCCGCAAAGTATACTTTCTGACCGCGTGAACTTATCTCGGATTCGTTTGTAAACAACTTATTTCATACGCTCATTGATCTAAGATTTGTCACCGATTCCTTATGCATTACTCGATTTCTTTTCTTTGTTATCGTTCTCTCAAGTGATTGGCTGTTGCTTGATATCCCAGGTGTGCATATTGATAAGGTGCCTACCTGTCAATTACCCACTATCTCGTCCATACTGTCTCCTGGAGACAGTTGGTCGTTGTTGGTGGGGATGGGGTGCACGGTTCTTGTGGCCGTGCTAGGCTCAAAGAGCGGTTCCATGCAATCAGTCTGGAGCGGACTACGGTCCAGCCACCGCCTTGTGTGCACTTGATTCCCAAATACAGCGTGCTTGTGTTTGCCTGTGAAAGAGTGTGAGCCGGCTCCGTTGATGAAACGTGGCTCCCATCCACATGCCTCTCGGCCTTATTCCTTCGGGTTTACATTGGATATGGGGTGCGTGGATGGAGTTGTGGGTGGTGCAGCGGAAGCCACAAAATGGTCCCTCCGTAGGCGCAGACGTCCTGTGGAGACTACAATGACAGGAAAATTCGGAACCGAATGCCGCCAACCATATATATATATATATATATATATATATATATATATATATAACATTTGGCCAGTAAACATTTGGCAGTGACACAACACATGAGGAACAACAACAAAAAGGTGGAGAGTCGGAGAATGCATGCGAAGATCCATGTATCGTGTGGCCAGAGAACATCTTGGTCGAGAAAGAGGGTTGACTTATGGGATCCCACCCCCAGCGTTTGATCATAAAGACCTGACCCGCAGGGCAGCAGGGCGAATAACAAAGACCGTTGACAGCCAGGTGGCTCATTCGCCTTCTATGTGTCCAGTAGTAGTCCACAGAGAAGCAAGTGGTCAAGAAGGTTGTTCACTTGCCCTTCGTTATGTACTCACTTCTGGTTACAAAAGTGAGTGGTCAGTGACCCTATAGCCGGTCACATCGGCTTTGGACACAGGGCCGTACGAGCTCTTGTGATATTTGATGGGCAAGCAGGTGAGCAGCCCGGAACTCCCCACGCTGACTGTCCACAACTGCTTATTTACCTCGCTTGCAAAGCAGACGAGACTTATTCACAGTTACCTGCACAAAGAAGGCATTCCCCGATCCGCGACCTGGGGACGCGTTCGATAGAGCAACTTATACACGTTTGTGTATGGGAAGGAGTAGTAGGGAGATTTAAATAGCACAATCCGAATCCATCACATCTAGACTCAAACAGCCATCACATGCCCGGAATAGCACTGCATTATCAATTGATCCTTTCAGAAATCATCATCAGTGTACATCGCATCTAACCACTATAGGAAAGAGGACCAGTTACCCTGTCCTCTGCAGGTGCAAGGCACTTGAGAGCAAACAGTGCTGTGCTACATCGAGTCAGTTAATATTATCGGTCATTGCTGTCTCCCAGTAGCTCAGTGTTAACAGTCGGGTTGCGGATTAGAACCACACATGGAACAGAAGGAATGTGCACTGGCGACGATTCCCGAGGGAGTGAAACGGCCGTGTGATGGCTATCTGAATAAGTTTAGATGCGATGGATTCAACGTATTTAAATGTGGCTCGATCGAAACGGCAAGACACAACATGAACCTACTCAGCTCCAGCACGGATAACTTTCAATGTACACGCGACATCCAAGATGCCGCGGACAACCTAAGACAAAACCGTTTTTGAACCCATAGTGACCTGACTACAGAGAGATACCACTGGTGCTGCTAGGGAATTCGACGTACCAACGGTTTTAAAAACATTCATGCCTTCCCACTGACCTGATTAGTAGGTTGATGGCTCTGTGACTGGCTGGTGGACGCAGATTCGGACGTCGATTGGTTGGATGGAGATGAGACGTCGTCGTCATCTTCATCCGTGCTGGTCGAGTAGCTGCTGGAGGTGAGCGGATGTGAAGTTGTACTGGACGCATTCTGGTTAGTCGTTTGCGCAGGTGTCGACCTCCGCCGCCTTGTAGTGTCCGGCAGCGATACAGTGTCAGAAGCACCCAGGACATAATTATCAGCATCGCTGGAAGGCGGATGGAAGCATTCTACTGTGCGCAAATGCGTGATCCCGTCGTAACCTCCTATAATTGAAAGAAGATGAGAAGAGAGGAGAGCTGATAAAGACAACAAGGTGTGCGTACTTCACTATGGCTAGTGCTCAAACTCACCGATAGCGTACAAGCGACCACCAGTGACGGCCAAACCGACTCGAGAGCGGGGAACTTCAAGAGAGGCGATCTCCGTCCATTGACCCATAATCCCATTCGCATCGGGTCCGGCGGATGGGTCAAAGACTTCCACATTGCGTAAGAAAGTCACCCCATTGTAACCACCGGCAACGATGATTCGATTGTGCAGCACTGTCACCCCGTGACGGCAACGCCGATACAGCATACGGGCGACCGGTTGCCAAGGAGTTGAGGTTGCGGAGGAACGATGCGATGTCGGGCCGGTCACATTTGAACTGTTGACACCGTCTCCGCTGGTCAGCTGCATAGCAGCCGCCGCAGGACCGACAGCTCGAGGATGGTAGCACTCGACTGAAGAGTAGATGGCCAGACCATTGTGCCCTCCGACAGCGTATAAACAGCCATTGTTCAAAGCAACTAGCCCGCCTGCTGATCTAGGCTCGTTCATGCTCGAAACGATGAGCCATCTGGTGGAGCGAAGAGAAAGTGACAAGTAAGGGGTGGTGGTGGTTTTTATATTTTACAAGAGTAAGCCGGCAAAGACAGAATGCTAACTATTCAGGTATCACAGTAAACTAACGAGTGGTAGGGTGGGCGCAAAAGAATTCAGAAGAGGCAGTCTGTGTGGAGGCGAAGAGATCAAGGGCACACCATACGCAGAACTAAAGATGGTCACGTGTACTTCTGTGACTAAAAACTCGAAACCCATGGATCTACACTGATAGATGAACCCAGAGAGAGAATGCTGAAGGAATAGAATGGTCATGAAAGGATAAGTTATTGTGTTACCGACAAAAGAAACCGTAAATGGATTGAGTCGAACGTGGTCTAGGGTTAAATCCCGAAAACGCGGGAGAGATGCATAGGAGATACAAGCGAAGAGCCAACAAAGTAAAAATTTGTGACTGCAGCGTCTTAAATCTGACAGCAGTCTGAAAGCCCCGTAGTCGTAGCCAGATGTACCTCATATACATAGTATGAAAAGTTAGTTCCCCTTAACTGTTGCACTTCAATAAAAAAACAAACAGTAGAAATGAAACATAGAAGTCCAGGTCCTACACTCAGGGCTGCCTAAACCGATCACAAGTTGCTTTTGCTTATTACGATAGCTTCTATCGAAAGCAGCGTAGTTGATCAAAGTCAATTCGCAACGTGTGTATTAATCCGATAGGACCTATGGGAAACTGAGTTCCCGAATGAAGGAGCACTTCCAACTGGGTCACGTATGAAATCGCGCGGCAATCATGTCCAACTCCAGCTGTGTTGACGTAGGTCACTGACATTTTTGTTTGGTGGGCATGAAATGATTTCATATAAGTGAATTACAGTCAACACGGCATTCAAAATGCTGCTCTTTCCTACCGTCGCCTGGATAATCGTGATAAGTCGGAATAAACCGGTGCTTTGCATTAAAAAGCAACTACCCATTAGCTGGCTTGCCGAACAACCTCCTCGTGGTGCCAGCTGGGTGTTTCGGGATTTTCCCGTTACAGCAAATGGTTCGGCTGCAGTGTTCCAGGATGTGGTGGGTTTCCGCCTGGCAAGCGTTCTCTATCTGATCATGCCTCCATGAGCGTGCCTCGCATAGTCGAGAATAAAATATTTATTTATTTATTTATTTATATAAAAAGCCACATATGTCCGTTTAACAACACTGTGACGTGGCGGACGTGACTTGCCACTAAATAAAGTCACTGCCCCTTGCTTCATCCTCCAGAAACATTGTATTACAGCAAATGCATGCTGTAATTCTGGGAAGCATTGGGCCTTTGTTTCAAAAAGGAACAAAGGAAAAGCGTATGAACTGAACAAGCAGTCACCGGCTTCCAATGGGCGCGATTCCCTGAATTCGCTCCGCTGCCTTGCGGGCAGGCTAAGCAGCCAAAGGCTCGGGGTGGTGTCCCCTAAGCCAACACCCTACTTCGGCTTGGGCAACCGGGTAGTATCTCATCCTCTGACAAAACTATGGACTTTAATGTGTTGTGTTGTTTCTCTTTTACAATTTCTGTGTCTTATGATGGCTCTATGCCTATTTACAGACTGTTGCAAATATAATATATACCAATTAGCCTAATGCTGCCATAGGTGGAGGTGCGACACTTCTGATTTTCGATGCGTTTACATGTTGAGTTGCACTATAAAAGAGGTGTATATGGTTGTACGTTATCGGCGGAGGTACTGATGAGACGATAAGAAATGTATACATTTAGAATGCCAGAGGCGGTTGCGTGTTTCATGCAAGTGCATGAGGTGAATTAGCGCGATCCACATCGGTCGAAACGTTTGACATTCTAACTGATAGGCCACGCTGTAGCCGGAGTTCAGTTCGGTTGATCAATTATGATCCGAGCACCGAAGTGCGATGGATCCAGTTAACACGACTCACATCGCAAGAATATCAAGAAATAACAATGGCAAGATAGTGGAATAAAAGGCAACTAGAATGTAAAGATAAGAGAAGCAAGAAGGAAGTAGGTTAAATTAATCAGAATAGAAAGAAAATTGACAACCAGATGCAAGAAACCGAATGCAAGTACGCCACTGGCTGCGTGACTGCGCCATGTCTGATACGGTCTCTAAGCATTGGTGTGGACAATCCCGAGGCTCCCATCCACGAAGACAACACGCACCAGACTAGCAAGCCGGAGTTCAACTGGATGCTGGAGGCATCAAACTAACATCCAAAAAAATTCAGTCTAGGCGAAAGCACAAACAGCGGCTCCAGGCGCATTGCCATAGACGAGACTTTACGACAGGACATCCCACATCCTGAATATGACCGCGTCGACAATTGAGAGGGACGTACTTGTTTTGCTGTGGGTAGTATACTTCGCAAGTGCGCAGTGAAGCTACGCCATCGTAGCCGCCGCACACGTAGATGCGACCGTCCAAAGCAGCTGCGCCCAGAGCGCTACGTTTGTAGTTCATCGGGGCGACAGTTCGCCATACTTTCGTTCGTGGATCATACACCTCAGTTGTGTTGAGACGGCTTGTGCCGTCGAAGCCACCGATCGCGTAAAGTAGGCCTGAGAAGAGAAGATAATGCGCATATACCAGTGCGGGGATGAGAGACTCAGGGGGACAGAGCTATAGCGAAAAACCAGGTACATTATATAGTTGAGATTTGGGGTTGTTTTGTACAGAGTAACTAGTAAAGTAGATTGGAACTGAGTCATCCTCGATTACATACTAGTCAGGGCTCAACGATCAGGTTTGGTAGTCATAGCGTTCGATCTCTTGTCCCTAGCGGTACGACAAACTTTGTGCATTGAGAGTGCAATATCTCAAGGAACAGGCAAAAAGGAAGAGGGACGAAGGGGAGAGTGTGAACAAAATAAAAATACTATACGCAAACACTCACGGTCAAGGTACCGATACCTTCGCAACATAACACGGAGGTGAAAAGCCCGGTCCTTGTGCATGGATAAGGTTGAAGCAGAGAGACGGCTTCTTTGTGGTCACCACAGATCGGTGGTAACCAGGTTTATGGAGTCCGTTTCCATATTGGCTTCATATTATGATTGTCAGCATGTGTACGGCATGCATGAACTAACACAGACATCAGCAGTACGCCGGTACATAGTACTGACGCTTCGCTGCCGCGTAACCACCACCGATCACACGTGAGCTAAGGATACTGCGAGGGTCGCCCTACGCAGGCTCAAAGCCCCGCCGTCAGATTACAAGACAAGCTGGTTACCTTTAGGCTTTGGGCCAGCGCAGCTAGAATAAGGACAATGAGCGATGCATCATCCAAAGCATTGAAACTGGACATCTCACAACCGTTGCAAATTCGGAAAAATAAAAAGCCGGAGGGACGTGGGTGGGAGCCGCGAGTGGTTCCGAGCCGTGCAGCTCAGCATGCGCGCGCCCACACACACGTAGAGACACTGGGATAACATATAGGAGGACATTTGTACCAAACACACATGAGGCGGTTCAGTTCAGTCCGGCTTGCTATGATCCAGTCACTATGACCAACCAGGATGTGAGAGTAATAACAATCACAACCATAATGATTTAGCGCAAATTAAAAAGTAATGTCACAATAGTTAAGAATCGGATACTAGGGGGGCAATGTAAGCGCGAAACAGGCACATAACGTGGTGATGCGATCGCCCTTAGAATAATGTGCACAGGTTTGGGCGCCTTATCTCCAAAACGAAGTCGTACGTATGGAAAAAAATCAAGAACTAGTGATAAGGACGATAGAAGGCCAGTGTGAGCGGTCATATGGTGAATGTCTAGGGAGTCTATGTTGTACAGTACAGAATTAAAGGGGATCCGATAGAAATGCTAAACATTATGAAGGGCCTCAGTGTGAGTATCAGAGATCCAGGCTGGAAATTCATCGTCATCATCAATACATGATAGCTGAGGATGAGAAACACCCGAGCCAATGTGCTGCAATACAAACAAGATACGACATTAGATATTACAGATAAGAAAAACCACATAAAAATAAATAATATAAGGCTAATTGTTATTGATCATCGGGTATGACATCGTCTTTGGAGTGGGAAGATAAGCGGGAGAAGGAGGGTCAAAGAAACTCACATGGCTCCTTGCCATGTTACTATGTGCAGTCGACCAAACGTATTCACCGCCATTCGGACCCCAGCCTAGAAGTCAGGAGACACCATCCGATGCCAAGTTCGAAGTAAGGGTTTTCATTCCACTTGACAAAGTCATCATTTGACCTCTCATGCTTTTCTTTCATGCAAGCTCCTGTCGCGCAACCGCGCGATGCGGTGTGCTGGCAAGCGAGGCTAGAAATTAGTGCGGCATTCTTTGCGAACTGTGTGGTTCACAGTTGGAACAAGCTTCCTTCTGTAGATAGAAATTGGGTGTTGCCCGCCCGAAAACATTGTACTCCTATGACGCGTTGCGATGGTATTCCATCTCACCAGATACGGTTCTCGTGATCGAAAGACTAAGGTTCACTTCAATGGGAATCGCGGTCAACATTGAGATTGCGTGTCACAATCCATGCACACAACGTATACTTCAAAAAGACCCTCAATATCAAGCTTCCTTTTGCGTTGATGGGTAAAACTACGGTGGAAGCCTTCAAAAAAGGCCTAGAGAAGTTTTGGCCGGATATTTTCCGGGTTTGCTGTCGGGTTAGTGAAAATTAGTAGACCTCGTGGTAAACGAGCAAAAAAAGTACCGTCGCTTTCCTTGTTCTCGCTTCACTTCTTTTACAGTAGCAAGGACAGCAACTCAAAACGTCGAGGTACCGGGAGACCTAGTTTGCTTGCTGGTACAAGAAAACGAACGTTCGTTGGGCGGGAGCTTATTTCGTCCTTAGAGCGTAACCTGACTCCTAATTACTGAGTTCAGTTTTAGAACATACTAGCGGGCGAAAGAAAAATAGCAATCAAATTTGGCTCTTATGTCCATTTACTATGTCAGTGACTAGTTGTCTTTGGAGTTTCACCCAAGTTGATACAATGCCGGTAGATGATATAATACACACACCGAGATAGTCAGCGTGCCGCAAGTGGAGTGCATGACCAAACCAGCAACGTGGTTCGAGTACCCTAGTGTCAAACACCATAATGGATAAACAACATTTCCTAAGTGCCAATGGTAAAAAATGTGACCTCTATTAACGTCCCAATCGGTATAGACAGTTCTTGAATCTCTACAGAGGCTTTCGTTGTACCGTAAAGTAGTAATCCCTTCCATAAAACAAAAACAAGTATGCATTCCATCTTCTGCATATGTTGCTGTGAATTGGAAAAATCGCACCAGCCTTAGCAGAAAGCGCAATAACCAAATCAGTGACGTGTGGTGAAACATCTACCCAGATAAATAAACCATTCCCAGTGGCTGTTAGGTGACAGTGAGACATTGCAGTTTCATAACATTATTGTGCAGTGAGAAAGTACAAGGGAACTGACAGAGTACGTGGCACCAAGCGACAGTCTATTCAGTGCGGTTTGCATAGCTACTGTTGTGTCAGACGCAAGGTGAGCTATGTCATCATAGTATAACGAGCAGATTTTAACGACCTTCCTAGTCTGAAAGGCTTGCGGATTGTACACACGCAAGGAAAGGTGGCCAACGGAATTTGTTCCTACGACCCGTGAGACTTAGTCGTCAAATATTTTCTACGTGAGAGCTGAATAGAGTGAATAATTACTTACTTTAATTCACTGCGGCTAGCTCCTGCGACAGGATAAGCCGGTTTCATGAACATCGCGGATTGCAGCTGCCCAAGCGCGGCGGTCGGCGGCAAGCTCCACGTAGATACTGATCCAATGATTCCTCTAGTGACGGGCACCATGCACAAGATGGAGTCCCAGAAGATTGAAATCCGATTTCACTGCAGCGAGCCTCGTTTTCAATTGCCCACCACGGTGACGATAGCAACTCTGACAACGCGAGGGTGAAACCACGGCCCTAGTGAAGTCAGCGTCTGGTCTGCGGAAGACGTGACCAAACCACTGAAGTCTGTAGCGTTGGATGAGCGCTGAGAGCTTCGGAAAACCGCAACGGCGCTTATGCATTTCGTCATTGTGATATGCTCATGCCACTGCGTTTCCAAGAAAAGCCTTAGACATCAATGGTCGAAGACCTCCAGCTTCCGGGTGTATTCGGATCGCAGTGGTCGTTTCCCAACCATAGAGTAAAATGGCACGAATGGTTGCTGAGACTACTCGGATCTTTGTTCTCAGACTGATTTCCGTCCTTAGCCACAATGTGTTTCTCAGTTGTAAGGCTGTTTTAGCACTGTCAATACGATTCCGGATTTCGAATGTAGCCAGACCATTGGCCAGTATAGTGGATTCAAGGTACTTGAATTCAGGAACAGACCCGATGAGTTGCCCATGTAAGGAGAGCGACGGAGCGATGTGGGTGGCTGATGATGAGAAAGTACTTGGTCTTGCTGATGTTAATTTCGAGGGCGATCATAGAGGCTGATTGGTCGACCGATTTAGCAGTGACTGTAGTGATATAGCACCTTTCGCAAGAATAGCGATATTGTCAACCAGAAGTCAGGGCTAACTTAAACAGTACGATAGCCCTCAATGGCATGATGCATAACCCGGTTGACTGCGAAGTTGAATAGCACTGGAAAAAGTGGGCAACCATGCCGGACTCGAGTAATGATGTCAAATTCCTTTGTTTCTTCTCCGTAGACCCGACCCCGGGCTTTCGTGTAATGGTAGTATGATCTCATCAAGTTAACGAGTTTAACCTGCACGCCATCGGCAAGTAGGATTCTCCAGAGTGCTTCATGGTCGACTGAGTCAAATACAGCTCGAAAATCAACGCAGCACACAAACGTGGGCTGCTGGAACTCATAGCGGTGTTCAAGTACTCGAAGTAGAGTGAAAAGTTGGTCAGTGCAGCCTTCACCTGGATGAAATCCACCTTGTTAATGATGAGTCCGCAGATTCTCCAGGTTGGCAAAGCAGGAAAGCAAGATCTGTGAGAACGTTTTAGCGTCCACCTAGAATAGGCTAATCTCGCGACAATTACTGCACACAGTTCGGTCACCTTTCTTGGGAAATGGCAATAGTACTGAATTACTCCACGATGAAGGACAGATTTCGAGTAGAAGAGGTCGTGCAAATGGTCAAGGAGAGCTTGTAGACAAGATTTGATGATTTTCGCTGAAATCCCGCCTGCTCCCGGGGCTTTCTTCGGCTTCAGGTGATGAACAATGTCTACAATTTCTGTGGAAGTTGGCAGTAAACAATCCGCGTCATATCTTGACTGGGTTAATGCTGAAATGGTTACAGTGGTGTGTAGTGGGCGATGTAGGATGTTGCTAAAATACTCTATCCACCTGAAAAGTTTTCCTTCCGTATCGGGGAAGATTTGGCTTTCCGAATGGCGCAATATCGGCTGTGTTGAATAGCGTTTGCTGGAAGCTAAACGGACGAGACAAAAGAGGTGACCCAGATTGTCAGCATATGATGCAGTTGCCATGTTGCCTGCGATAACAGACTAGTAGCGGTTGCGATCATTCCGTGCTGAACGGGTTGCCTCACATCTCAAGCGACGGTAGTCG